CCTGAGCTTCTTTCTAGTCTGCTTGGAAATAAATTATCTACTTGATTTTTTTATTTTTTTTTTTTTTTTTGCACCACGTGTTACCAGAGGCGAATTTCTGGAGGACAATGGGGCTGATATTCAAGTAGCTGCTGCTCTGAACCACAACCTCTGACGGCTGAACTTCAGAGTGCCAGAAAAACAACAGTATTGCTTGCAAAGAACGCAGCTGCAGAGCCTGGCCTGGCTGCCAGGCTCCTCACACTAATGATCTCCCCAACTGCAAACGAAGAGGGAATTTGACTTTAACAATATCCCCAAACAATCGTGCAAGGGGATGATTTCATGCTTTTTTTTCCTCGGGTGCTTTAAGACACTGAGCTGTAGCAGAGTGTGGGTTTCTTGATGAGATCTAAAGCTGGCTGGACTTGTTTTCTCAGGAGGAATTGGAAGCTGTTGGATGCAGAGGATCTTAGGAGGTTTTATTAGTGATGAAGATGTTCTGAAAGACTTTCCCAGAACACACTTTTCAACAAGAAGGGCTTGTGCATCTGCAGGTTTGAGTGTTTGTCCCAGTTCTGCAGGAAGGTGACACTTGTTCTTCCTACGAACTTGGCTTTGCCTAGGGAAAAAATCCACCTTTTGTGCATAATTGCATAGGTTGGGTTATATTTTTCCACTTTGCTTGTTTCCAAGCCGTTTGACTGTTGGAAATACATTTCCTTGGCGTCCCGTGGTTCTTTGAGAGGCTTTTGACCAGGACTTGCAGTGATAGGACAAAGAGGAGTGGCTTTGAGCTTAAGGGGGGTAGATTTAGATGGGATATTGTGAAGAAATTCTTCCCTGTGAGGGTAGGGAGACCCTGGCACAGGTTGCCCAGAGAAGCTGTGGCTGCCCCATCCCTGGAAGTGTCCAAGGCCAGGTTGGATGGGGCTTGGAGCAACCTGGGCTAGTGGAAGGTGTCCCTGCCCATGGCACGGGGTGGGACTGGGTGTTCATCAAGGTCCCTCCCCACCCAAACCATTCTATGACCCTGTGATTCATTCCTGTAAAGTGTTTCTGAGGAATGTGCATTATTTAAGGCATTTGTAGAGTGATGCACTAAAATATGGAAATTTGAGAGTAACTGCAGCACTCAGGCCTTGGTTTTCTTACTGCTCGTGGTTTGTGTGTCCAGTCATAACTCTGAGGTACATTTGGGGCTCACAGACTGAAGAAAGCTTCCTATTTTATGGTAACTTAAAGAAACATGGGGGGGTTATATAAATAATTTTTTATTCCTTCTTGTGTAGATTGTGGGATGTCCATCCTTACAAATGAGTTTCTGAGTGACCACAGGCTCCAATATTTTGGGAGTTCCCACAGTGCTCCCTTGACATCCATCCCAGGACAGCTTTGTCCCACGTTTCCAGCACAGGTTCTGCAGGGAAAATCAGCTCTGTTCTATGTATGCCTTTGTTTGTCTTTGTTTTGGTGAGAGAGACCAAGGTAGAACCAATTCCCCCGGTGAGGCTTGCCTGTGCTATTGTTTCACAGGTTATTTTGAGGTCTGGCTTCCCCCTGGGATTTTTCCTCTCTTGGTTTTTTGACCTTTTTGCATCCTATAGTGATTCTCTTGATTAGAATGACTGAGTTGTAATGGCTTTACACGGTGTTTCTAAAATTAAAGTTCACGGTGTTTCTAAAATTAAAGGTAATTTAAGGGCTTTGATTTGGGGGAGGAGGGAAATGGGGGTGGTTCAGACTTCTCTGTCGCTGGGGCAGAGCCATGCAGGGAAAATACCTGCTCCCAAGAGAGAAGTTGTGTGTGCTGGGCTCCTCAAAAATACTCTGGCTCTGGAAGTGCAGAGTCTGAGAGAATCAGTTCTCTGTGACTTTGAGGATGAGGAGTTTCAGTAAAATCATGGATGAGGTAATAATTCCTTTTAGACCTTCCAGGAGGGATGGTGCCACAGCCAGGGTGCCCCATGATCCACAGGGTGATGCAGAGGTTTGGGTGGGAAGGGACCTTAAAGCCCATCCAGTGCCACCCCCTGCCATGGGCAGGGACACCTTCCACTAGCCCAGGTTGCTCCAAGCCCCGTCCAACCTGGCCTTGGACACTTGCAAGGATGGGGCAGCCACAGCTTCTCTGGGCAACCTGTGCCAGGGCCTCCCCACCCTCCCAGGGAAGGATTTCTTCCCAATATATTATTAATATCCCGGGGGTGATGAATGGAAAAATCCTCACTGCCCTTCCGAGCGGTGCCGGCTGCGCTCCCAGCCGGACACAGACAGGCCCTTCATGGCTGTGCCAGCAGCCCCAGTGTCCCCCCACCTCCCACAGCTGCAGCCCCTGAACAAGGGAGCCCTTGAGTCATGGGAGAGAGACTTGACCTTCCTCAGTGCGGGAGCTCGGGGCTGAATGGGGCATTCCTGGGGTGGCTGCAAGGGCTTCCTTACCCTTTGCCCTGTCCCTGGTGCCCACAGTGATCCTGAGCACTCCCTCCCTCCCTGCCTGGACCTCTGAACCCTTCTGAGCCAGGCACTGGAGGTTAAATGCCATTGTTTGCATAATTAAAAGCCCTGTGGAAGTATTCCCTCAGGCTGAGCGTGGAGCACTGGTGTGTCACTTCTTCAGGGAAACAGGGGTTTGTACCAGTTGTCTCAAAACAGCAGCTCGTGTGGTCACAATAAAAAATGCAGGCTTTATTGTTTTATTTCCTAAGTAAAAGGTGTGTTTCAGTCATTCACCCCTCACTGTCATTTATCTTTCTGACTCATTCTTATTAGAAACACAGAGTTTAGTGGGCAGATTACTTTTAGCCAATATTTAGTGTTTTTCTGAGTGATGAGTGACATCAGAATAAAACCTGGGTGAGAGCAGAGCAGCGGAGTGGAGGTTGTTCAGCCTGGAGGAACAGCCTGTTCCTGGGAGAAACCTGTTTGCTTTGACACCACTGGGGTTGTACCATTACAAAATCTGCTCAGGACGAAAAGTGTCAGCTTTGGGCATTGTACTGGGAGCAGCTCGTGTGTCACTTGGCCAGATCCACAGGGTTTGGGGGCAGGAGGCTGCACATCCCAACGGGCTGGTTCTCCACTGCTTCCTTTTCAGTGCCTCTATTTCATCGTGTTTGGTAAAGCTCCAGTAAGGCATCCAAGGAATAACAGCATTTCACTGACATCTTAACCCAAATTATAATGCAATTTGTCCCTTCCATTAGTTCTGCAATGTTTCAACTTGAGTTAAATAAGTGGTTTAAAGAAAAATTCACTTTTTTGCTCATCCCTTGCTCTGCTGTGTCGCGGAAGGTGCTGGTGGTGCTCACAGGAGCCTCCTGCTCCAGTGCTCTGTGCCCGGGGCAGCCCAGTGGGGTGTGGAAGGTTTGGGAAGGTGGGCACAGGGAGCTGTGCCCCTTGTACTCACCAGTTACCCCTTGCTGTAAAAGAGACCCTTCGGTTCTCCATCCAACCCTGCGATTGTCCTTCCTTAGGCAGGTAAATTTTTCTCATCGTTGCTTTTTTGGGGATGTTTGAAAGTCTGATGGTGCACGTGGTGAGGCATTTGGGAGCTGATCCCAGGTCATCCCGCAGTGTTCCGGGGCCCTTTCAGCCACAAGGGCTGAATCATTGCAATGACAGAAAAGCAGGAATTTTGCAGGCAGTGCAGACCTGCCTGCACATGGACAGAGTGAAACAGAAACACCCTGGGAACCCGAGGAACGCTCTCAGTGTTTCTTTGTGGGAAACCAAAGGGTTTCCAAACATATCCCGTCGGTGGGTCTGCACTGGAGCTTGTTGGAGTAAAGCAAGATGCAGGTGTGAAATCTGAATGAAGCAGGACTGGGATGCTGAGGTTGGAAGGAGAGGTGTGTGCCTGGGAAATCACTTGGGAATGGCCTGGAGAGGGGAGGTGAGAGCCCCGGGGCTTGTCAAAGCAAAGAGGCCTTCCGTGATTATTCCCATTGATAGGGACTTTTATGGGCTGTAGCTTAAGGAGCTGCTCTCTTATCCAGCCATTCACAGGAGGTGTTTATTCTCCTCTGCTCTTTCAAAGGTGCTTTTGATGCCACAGGTTTTGTTCTCAGAACAATAACTTGCTTGATAACCTTTGGGGCTGCTTTTTGAAGCCTCTTGGTTCTTGTCTTGGGCTGTGTTTGGGTTTTCTGTGCTTTTATAGCTTAAATAACTGTGATTGGGTTTATTCAGCATCAAGAAAACCCCATCCTAGTGGGAGCAGCCCTGGCTGCTGGTGGATGCAGTAACACACAGAAGGTGTTTGGTCCCCCATAAATCTTTGAATTCCTTATTTTATGAAGTGGGAATAGCTGGGGAAAATGCCACTGGTGATGAGCTGCCATGCCCGGGGGTAGCTGGGAGACTGGTTTCTTAGCCCAAATTACAATTTCTGGGTTGGGATGTTGATTTAAAGCCTGTGAAAGAGTTTTAAAGGCACCGGCAATTTTTTCCTGAATAAGAGGTCACTACATAAAAGTTTTGCCTCTTGGAAAAGCTTGTGTTATAAATGTCGTTGCTCTAGGTTTAAAGTGTTAATTTATGTGGCATATTGGGTTGGATTTAAAGGTCCCTGAAGACCTTTGAATCTCAGTAGCTAATAAGGCTTGCAGAAGAGAACTTCAGAGAGGAAAAACTTACTGGCAGTGAGTAATGCTGGTGAAGGAGCTCCAGGATTGAGCCAGTTTTGCAGAGAATAATTAGAAATGATCATGTCGGCCTTTAGTGTGTTTCATTATTTCCAGTATAGATCTCCTTGTGTCCCTGTCCTGCAGCCCCCCCATTTGTCAGGGAAGGATTCTCCCTGCTGAAACCCCTCAGGTTGAGTTTCCCCAAGTCTTACACTGCTTCCAAGGGGACACAGCTGCTTGGGATGAGCTGAGCATGCCTGAGCAGCCACCTCACATCTCCCTTGGCTCTCCCACTCTATCCCTGATGGAATGGGTTTGGTGTTCAGACTCCAGTCTCTCTTCTCAGCTAAACCAGCCCTTCAAAAATGCTTGGACTTGTCCTTTCTCTTCCAGCTGGCCTTGCTGAACTTCTTTCACCCCGAGGAAAAGCTGCACGTTGGAGAAGAAGGGAGACGTGTCCGCCGGAATAAAAGGAGTAAAGGCAGCGAAGGGCCCGACGGTGAGTCCTGCTCAGCTTCTCTCTGATTCTGGTTCCCTTCCAGATGAGGAATTCCAGGAGTTCTGATTTCTGCAACTGTAGGTCAGGTGATTTGGTGTGAATTAATGCTGCTTAGGAATTTCATCCTTGACTCCTCTGACAGCGAGCTCTGTGCTTGTTTTAGGCAGTAATTTGTACTTTTATGCCTTTATTTGTTGTTCTGCACACCTGTCTCTGCTCGAAGTCATCAAGGAGCTATTCATAATCCAACAAACAGCTGGGAACATCTGGATCATGAAATGGTAACTGCTCTAAGGGGGTTTTGCAATGCAGTGGAGTCTCAGGTGGGTTGAAAGCCCGTGTGAAGGGAAGTCAGAGTTGGATTAGAAGAGTGGAAAGGTACCTGATTTCAGTGTGAGGGATTTAATTTCCCGTCCTGTATTTTTGTGATTGTTGTAACCCTAAGACATGAGCATTTCCTCCTGGAAGAGCTCCCATGGTTGCCAACTGCAGGAAAGCACAGGTGCCCTTTTATATGGAGAGGAGAAAGGACTGGATGCCAGGGACAGTGGGGAAGGGAATGCTGCAGCAGTGGTCTGTGTGTGGCTGGGTGCCTGCTAAGCCCGAGGCCTGACTATGTTATAATCCTCTTGGCTGTCGTTAGTTTTCCTGTCCAGCTCCATGAGTTTCCCATCTCCCCTGAAACCTTTGCGATTTCACAGTGGAAAAGCATTTCCCTGTGGCTCTGCTCCAAGAAAAAGCTTGGTGAAACTCCCTGGATTCCTCTTCCCCGGAACGCTGACAAGTATGATGCATTTGGTACAGACTCCCTGAGTGATTCCAGCTCCGTGTGGTCCATCATCTCCGGGGCTGGTGGCGCTCTGGTGCTCACATGGCTCAGGCAGGATCCGGGTCCTTTTCCAGCGGCTCCTTGAAATCTGTCCCAGTGTCTTCACCAGCCGCTTGTGTCGGTAGCAAGTTCCCACTGGATGCGAGCGGTGCCAATGGAGCGCTGCCGGCAGATGTTGGGAGGGATCAGCCTCGTCCCTCAGGCTGCCTCTGCACTGCCAGATGTGCAGAGAGACGCTGCAGGGGAGAGGGAGATGCTGAAAGTCGGTGTCTAACGAGGGCTTTGCTCATCATCCTTGTGCTTGGTTGGAAATGTGTCGTCCTCTTATGACTGGCATTCCTTTCCCAGATTTCCTTTACGTTCTCTGCATGCTCAGAGTTGAGTCACTCCAGAAATGCAGGGCACTTCCACCACTTATCCAGTCCAGGGAAGGGAAGGGAGCTGGGAAGGGGCTGGAGCAGCAGGAGTGGCTGAGGGAGCTGGGGGGGCTCAACCTGGAGAAAAGGAGGCTCAGGAGGGACCTTCTGGCTCTGCAACCCCCTGACAGGAGGGGGGAGCCGGGGGGGGGTCGGACTCTGCTCCCAGGGAACAAGGGACAGGAGGAGAGGGAACAGCCTCAGGCTGTGCAGGGGAGGGTCAGGTTGGAGATCAGGAGGAATTTCCTCATGGCAAGGGCTGTCAGGCATTGGCAGGGGCTGCCCAGGGAGGTGGAGGAGTCCCCACCCCTGGAGGTGTCCAAGGAAGGACTGGACATGGCACTCAGTGCTCTGGGCTGGGGGACAAGGTGGGCATCGGGCACAGGGTGGATTTGGTGATCTTGGAAGGCTTTTCCAACCTCAGTGATTCTGGGATTCTTATCTGTATCTTTTTGTAAATTAGGGATTTTGACCCCATAGCTGCTAGACATGGGAAAACTGCCAGAGGGACAGGTCGTGTTCCTCGTGGCTTTGGCGACTGGTTGCCTCGTGTTTGTCCCTGGTGGTTTTATTGGGTAGAGCTGCACTTAACAAGTGAGAGCTGTCAGGGCAGGGAGTGACCTTGCAACAACCGTGAAATCAATAAACAAGCAGAGCCTGTCCTTGGGGAACTTGTGCTGTTTGTTTTAGACCTATGTGAAGGAATCTTGGTGTTGGAGCAGGGCAATGAATCATTACACTAATAAATAAAGTCATGTCACGGCACTGATAACACCGTTTTCTCCGTGAGTTTTGCAAAGGGAAAGTCGATCAAATCTTTGATCTCTAAAGAGCCTCCAGAAGATAAAAGTGGATGAACTATAAATTCCCAGAAGGAAGGAGATGTGCTTTCCACTTGAGGCCTCGCTAATATTTATCTGGAATTAATTTTATGAACTTTCAAGTCCTTTCACACGTGCAGTGAAAGACCAAAGTGATCCAAGCTTGTAAGCCATGGTTGGAGAGAGGCTGCTCCATCCCCTTCCCAGCTCTTCCAGTCCTGCTCATCTTGGTACCCACAACAGGCTGCCTTTGATGATTTATGAACATCAGAAATAACCTGGTTTCTCCCCTAAAAGCTTTTTCTGTAGGAGAATTTGCTTTCAAGTCTTCTGCTGTGAAAAAGGAGGGTTTGGGACAGGGCAGAGCTGGTTCCATATGGGCAGAGGAAAGTGATGGCTGTGCCCAGAGCACAGAGCCACAGGGATGGAACGTGGGAGGCCACGAGCAGCAAAGCTGCTTTGGTGCCTCTTTGTTAAAAAAACCAAGAAAAATTGTGTGAGACAGTGCAAAGCCATCGGTTGGATCCTGTCACTCCCAAACATGACTCCAGTATTCCAGGGGCTCCTCCTTCAAGGACTCTGGTTTCAGCCCTCTGACCCGCCTGACATGTTTTATGATGGTGTTTGCTTCATTTTGGTTTGTGTCCCCCCCACACGGTGCCCTGGAGCCAGTTAGAGCAGCCGGGGTCGTGTCCTGGCCGAGGTGCCGGCCTGGCTCCCACCCCACTGTCCATCTGTCTGTCCAGCCTTGGGACACTGTGGGGCATCGCTGGGGGCTGATGCCTGTCCCAGTCCTGGGATCATCATCTTTAAGCCACTTTCCTGTCCGTGGCATCAAACCCAACATTTGCTCAGCTTTAAAAACTGCCACGAGTTTTTCCTACTCCTCAAGGACCAGGATTATCCCTTTTACTCTCTCTATTTTTACTGTGTTTTTTCTCCTCTGCGTTGCCAACTCCACCTGTCACATAATTCCCTTTAGTTCCCTAAAACCTGACTCTCTCCAACGCCTCTCCTTCATTTTCCCCTCTCCCCCTCCTTCCCTTTTGCCCTGGTGTATTTATGCTGCTGTGGAACCGCTGTTGCTCCCAGATGAACAAATCATTCCGGAGCTGCTAATTAGCAACAGTTGTGCTAAAAGGAACCATCAAGAATGTTAAATTAGTCCACTTTTAAATAAACTGGGTATGAAATGTTAGATCTCAATTCCCAGAGCATCAGTAAAAATGCTGCTGGCTCTTTGCTAACAAAGCCAAAATCTGGGAGTAGCACGGTTGTAACTACAGAGACAATTCCGTGCTCTTGAGGTTATAAATAATGACAGAGCATTTACAAAGCAGATGTCAATAGGACTCTTTAAAAAACATTGTTTTAAACAAAAAAAATAGTTTCTTTTTCTCCTACTTTCATCTCTGTTCCCAGTTAGATCCCTGCCAGGCTGCTTTCCTGGTTTCTGGGTTTTTTGCTTTTTGGGTTTGGAGTTGTTGGTTGGTTGGTTTTTTTTTCCCCCTTCCTAGATTTTTTCGTACTGAGCTTGGTGAGAAACATGAGGGATTGTTATCCAGGCTTTGATTCGGAGCAGGGCAGCTGGGAAGAGGCTGAGCAGATGGCTGTCCTTAAGCTGACAACAATTTGGTTCCTACTACTTTGGCAGTTCTTCCTGCTGAGGAAAGTCCTGGAGGAGAACTCGAGGGCTTCAGTGCTGCCAAAAGCTTTTGGTTGAAAGGAAAAATAAATTCTGGGGGAGAAGAAGCTCCTCCCAATCCCTGCTTCTACCTGGAGCTTTGAAAGTGAGGCACCACCTACCTGGGTCCAGTGTTTCACCCTCTTAGGAGTCACTTGGTGGTTTTAGGGCGGGTTTAGGATGGTTTTAGGATGATCTTTGGGTGGTCTTGGGATGCTTTTGGATAGCAGGTAGCTGATGCCAGAGCCTTGCTTTTTAGGGTGGTTTTAGGGTGATTTTAGGATGGTTTAAGGGTGGTTTTAGGTTAATTTTTGTATGTTTTTTGGGTGGTTTAGCAGGTAGCTGATGCCAGCCTGGCTTTTAGGATGGCTTTTGGATGGTTTAGCAGGTAGTTGATTCCTGAGCCTGGCTGGAGGTGCCTGGCTCCTGCTGGACTGCCCCAATCCTGCAGGTGCCATGTCCCAGCCATCCCCCTTCCCAACCTGGCAGCGCCCACCATGCAATGGGACTTTTTTTTTCCCCTTATTTTTTTGATATCCAGATCACAATAGCGACTTTTCCTGCCGGCTTCCTCTCCTGTGGAAAGGGCAGGTTCGTCCCTCTGCCTCCAGAACAATCGGTGCCTTTGTGTTGGCCCCGTGCAATTCCCAGAGCCCCGGCATTCCCAGAAACGCAGATGGATGCAGGGCGATAGAGCCTCATTGTGCTGCGAAACCATGGTGATGAGCACGCAGTAAATACAGAACATTTCCTGGATCCTGGAGCGCGGGAGACGCTCCCAAAAGGAAGGCTCACCACGGAGTGCTCGCTCTGACTGATCTCCCCCAGAACTTCCCTGTGATTTCCCCCTGAGCGGGAGAAAGGGGGGAATTCTGATGATGTCTGAGTCCTTGGGGACGATCTTCATCCCTTTCCTGGGACGTTGCTGTCAGTATTTGTTACTACTGTGATAAAATTAAGGCTGCAGTTTATTTACAGAGCCTTATCCACGTGTTATTCCCAGGCTTATGATAACAGGGATTTGTATAAGGTCTTGTACCTTAAATCCCAGAGCGATGTTTAGGTGCTGGTTCCAGCTCTGTGACAGCACTTGCACAAATTCCCAGGGAAGCTGTGGCTGCCCCATCCCTGGAAGTGTGCAAGGCCACGTTGGACAGGGCTTGGAGGAACCTGGTGTAGTGGAAGGTGTCCCTGCCCCTGGCAGAGGGTGGAACTGGATGATTTTTAAGGTCTCTTCCCACCCAAACCAT